AGGAGTCTGTTCAGTGACAGGTTGCTTCTCCCAAAGACAAGAACCAACAAACTCCTTTGTCCCACACGCCATCAAACTGTTTAACTCCTCTCTGGAGGGGAGAGGGAGGGGAAAAAGGGGTACAAAGGAGGGGGGGACAACTAAGCTGTAGTGCCTTTTCACTGTGCAATACTTTTTGCTAATATTCAACGGTGCAATAGACTTCAATAATTGAAATGTCCAATTCCCTTGTATTCTTATTCCTATTTATGTTATTTATCCATTTTGTATACTCTTTATTTATATATGTCTCTGTATTTATATATGTGTATATATTGTATTCTGCTCACAGTCTGTAACTTCTGTCGGTGCTGTGCTATTTGGAAACCGAATTTCCCAGAGGAACCCACCTGAGGGATTAATAAAGTTTTTATCTCTAATCTCTCTAAGACACATGAAGGGAAATGGACTGCTTTTTAGGTTCACAAAACCCAAAAGGCTTCTTAAGTTCTGAAAGATAAACTTGGGTGTCTAACCCCTAGTGGGGTTGCCACCTTGGAGCATGTCTTGACAGTCATTCGGTGAGTCCTTATAGTCACGAGCCAAGTTGTGAAAACGTTACCATATCCTGTCATAATGTGAGTAATTAAGGTCATCTGGGTAAATGTGTGATCATCTTATTATGATGCATCCCATAAAAGAGACCTTGGTCTCAATAACAGATCATTAAATGAACCTAAACTCATTGAACTGATAATCAGTGCAACTGTATCACTAACAGAATCGCTTACATAACTTTTGCAACAAGTTTAGACAATTAGAACTTATCCTATAATTTATCTTTGGTGGCTTTGCCTATCATTTATTATAATGGACTTGTCAATCAACTCTTTGTGTAGTATCTAGGTATAGTTCGCTGATTTATGCAACATTTTTGGCTAATATTTCTTTGGGAATTACCTTGTTGGTGTAAAAATACTATTTCATGCCTACTGAACTCGTCTATCAATGGCATTTTTGTAGATTCAACTAAAGATACTGGAACAAAAGGCTATTAGCAACAAAGAGGCTAAAAATACAATTTAAAATTAGTCCATTCATGTTTAGACAACACTCATGCATACCATTAGTTTGTTGCCTTTTTATGCTTGAATGATTTATAGGTTAGTGTTAAGTGGCATAACAAACAAGAACATTCCTTTGCAAATGGTCAGATACATTTGACTGGACAATCAATGTCCTAAAAAAATCCTTTGAAAAAATCTTCAAAAGACCTGGAGAACTATAGACCAAGACCACTTTAATAAATGATGAGGAAATCTTCCTCCTTGTCTGCTCAATACTTCTTCACCGCACTGTATTTATCATGTTATTAAGTTGTTGTACCAAAGAGAGTGGCGTAAATAGGATTCTGATCTAATAACACACTTGTAATTGACACTGGTGATGTTACAACATACTGATTAGATGTAGAAATGATTGTCCCATTTCTTTATATGTAGCATTTACAAAATAGTTCATTTTGGAGTGTTTAATAGCTGGAAGAAGTCCGGTAGCGCTTGAGTCTATTTCATATGTTACAGCTTCTGTAGATGCAGAGTTGATTTCACAAAAACATGGCGCAGTCTAATATCACTTCTGAGAAACCAGTCAGTGGATGTCAAGAAAGAACTGAAATGAGTGCTTTACATCACTCACAATAAATTCCAATATTGTTTCATTAGTCTGTGAATAATTATGTGAAGACACTTCAAAAGAAAGAGTTTCCTTCTCTAAGCATGTGTTTACACACACCCACACACACACACACACACACACACACACACACACACACAGAACATGGATAAGGGGGGCAAGCTTTGCAATTTTGGGCCTCTAAGTCAACAGGTGGATGAGGATAATTGAATCAGATGTGTCTGGAGTCTGAGGCCCAGAGATCAAAGCAGTGGCAAGTCAGGCCAGAGCTACACACACACACACGCGCACACAAGAAAATGAGAAAACCATGTAGACCTTCAGAAGCTGCAGCTTGGCTGATTAAAGAAACCTGACATCCATACACCAGTCTGACCTCCAGGTGCAGAGCCAGTGGGTCCGGGTCTCAGGCTTCAGGCACCCTCACTAAAGCAGTCTGACCTTGGGACACTAACATCCCTCTGCCCCCACCTATTCTCCACCATAACCCTACACCACCTGGAGGGGGGAGAGGGGCGACAAAAAGAGAGTGGGGGCCTGTGAGCACGAGATGTGAGGCTTTTCAATCAACATCAACAACTGACTTCAGAAAATGCAGAGGATTTATTATCCATCCTTTCAATTTAGCAATGAAACATCTTTAAACGTAAGACATTATATGAAACACAGATTATGTTTTATATGATCTGCTGACCAATGCAGATTGGCTGCTTTTATGTCCCACAGCATTGCTGTACCTGGACTGCTGCTATATACGAAGCGGTAGCTCTATCTGGTGGCTAAAAAAGGAATTAGAAATACCACAGCTTAAGAGGAAAGCATGCTCGGAATTCAATATTTCTGACTAATGCTACAAAATATTATCAGCTAAACACACACACACATATATACACAACATGCCACATCCACTTGTGTGTGATCTCAAAACCTCCGAAAAAAAACAGCACAATTTTACATTTAGACATTGAAACCTGAACCGGCCAGCTTCAGAAGCTAAACGTAGCCCTGCCCATCACCTGACTAATGGTGCGTGAAACAGATCAAATGCTGCCACATCACAGGGAGGGACTCAGATGAGTTCCTTCTATTTAATCTTATCTAAATGAGAGAGACACATAAAAGGACTCTTGGTCTGGCTAATTTTCTCCATCAGGACATTAGTCTGTGATCTGAAGGTCTTTCATGGTCTTATCCTAATCAGACACCATGGTACTCAGCAGTCTGCTTGCCACAAAAATCCCCTCTATCCACACCCTCTAAGGCTGTAACTAACTGAAGGTAGCCACACGTTTTCTTTTACATCATCTGTAATTCAAGTTCGAGCACCTACTAAGCAAACAGATGCAGGCCTATGGCCATACATGGATAAGACTCATTTAAACAATATGAGCAAGTCATATAAAATAAAGCCCAGGAGCAGAGACAGTTTGGAAAAGACACCAGGGCTGATGCAGAGAGTTGGTAGTTAACCAAATCAAGATCTTTTGTAACTGTGGGAAGAAACCCACAAAGACAAAAGGAGAACATGCTTGTGCCACACAGCAAGGCCCCACCAGGCCTCTTTGTTCAAAACGTTCACACCCGTCTCGCTGTGAGGTGACAGAGCTAACTACCACGCTGCCTAATCATAATGACTCCACAGCCGACAGAAAAACTTTGAATTAAATATGGCAGCGGCGGGCCTGTGCTTCTTCTTACACAGTGCCCTGGTGTATATTAAGCTCTCTTTAATGCACTTACAGTGCTCTCTTTTTATTATGCTAATGAGTTTATGAAGCCACTGGGCGGTGATTTGCCTTTCCTTGTTAATTGCAGTGAAAAATCAATGAGCCATTACTAACGTCACTTTGTTGAGCCTCTGAACTGCCTTGAGTCAGATGAAATATCTAAAAGCATGCTAGGATGCTTAATGTTTTAGCGAGGCGTGTTATACACATAGATGTATACCTGAGCAGCACAAGCGTCTTTAAAACACAGGCCAATTTTAAAAGTCAATATTTTTTTTAGGCATTTGGCTGATGTTCAAAAAGAAATGAAAGCCAAACAATTAAAGAAAACGGAGAACACACTAATGAGCTACCAAGCTTTATTCTTCTCTTTATCTGCTCTGTGGGGGTTACACCTCAAGTTCAACAATTGGTAAAGTGTAAAGAGGGGAGGAACAGAAAGATGGATAGAGAATACGAGAGGTTCATCCTCTCATGCTGTTTTGAAGTATTTCTCTTTGAAAAGTCAGAACGGACAGCTCACGCGGACTGATGCAACAACTTGGCAATGTCTTTGGCTTTTTCAGACAGCGCTGCTAAGCAAATACGATGGGCAATCATTCACAAAAGCTGCGTGTATCCAGTTTCACAGCAAAGTTCAGTATTTTAAGTCTGGTAGAAGAACTTTAAAACAGAATGCTTCAATAAATACCTTATACATTAGCACCTTATATATCTGACAAAAAAAATGTTTGGGTTTTTGTTTTCCCACTTTCTTTTTTATAGAGAATTAAATTCAAAAGGAGAAACAGGAGGAAGAGCTTACCAATCATGCAGTAACATGCCATCATCCTACTATACATACCAATTATTGTTTGAACTCTCATTTCATAGAAAACAAAGGACATGATTGCCAGGATGTCTCGCTGCCTTTTTAATAAGCAACTGAACTTTTCAAGAGATAAAAGATATTATATTTTATATGCAAATGAGTTTGTCTTTTTGTTTGTTTCCCACTGAATCAGATTCTGCTCATTTATCAAATGAGGAAGCAGCTTGCCAGCTTAATGCAAACAGTTCTTTAATGCATCAAAAGCACTGTCAAAAACACTTAAGATCTGTCTCACAGCAACTTTCTTTCAGTGAGACAATATTTATATTGTCTCAATATACACTTGGTAATTTACATAGCAGCTTCCTGCTATAGAGAAAAAAAAATCCTTAACCACTTAGACGCTGTTATCTGTGTTAGGAGACACTGCAGTGAAGCTGCAAATTATTCACCGATAAACCTGTGAAATACATCAGAAAATACGTTCAGCTTCAAACGCTAGCCCTATCTGTTTGTATGCACTTTCTATATGCTGGTCAGTCAGATCACTGAATTAATTTCCATTCATACTAGCCTGATCATGTATCACTCCAGACAGGAAGCAGATCAAAACTGAGGGGTTTTAAAAATCTGTATTGTATTTAGACAAACCTACAAAGCAGACTGACAGCTCTTCATTGTGTCGTACTGCAAATTATACACTGAACAAAAAAAAGGAATAAATAAGCCTAGCTGATGTAGGGGAGGTCACAATTTACCACAACCGAAGCCAAGACTAGACTAGAACCAAGAACCCACTTAAGAAATAGACCATGTAAAACTGATCAACATTAGTCTTTAAAAAAAAAAAAACAATACCCAATAAGAACTATAATGGGATGCCCATGCATGATAATATAGGCAGAGATCATAATCACTAACTCCTGATGCACACACAGGCCTTTTATTTTGGAAGCAAGCCTGAAATATGACAGAAACCGCTCAGTTCAGAAAAGAGAAACAAGAGTTACCCCTAGCAGGCGTTTAAGGGGAAAATGTTAAGGTACTTAAGCCAGGCAACACCCACAATTGCTGTGCAAGCCATTTTGCAACCTACTACCATCCCTGCTCCACCTTTCATTCTCAGGCAGTGTTGTATCTGTTCCCATTGATGCCTGTTCTGTTCTGTGTTGTCAGTCTTGCTGCGGCTCTTCCATGCAGGGAGACAGATGCCTTCCTGGGCCCAGAAAGCCACACAGCCATGCCACCAAAAAGAAATTAACAGATGGAAATATCAGCTTAAAACAAAAAAACAAACAAAAAAAGTGTAGGTGTCCCGACTGAAAGAAAGTAAACCATGAAAATGCATAGGCAGGAGGAGGAGGAGAGACCCGAGGCGGCCACCGGTCCAAGTGTCAGGTGAACTGAACTTCAGGTAAGAAGTTATGACCTGCAGTCTATCTGGGTCAGATATAAACCAAGTTTAGGTGGAGTTTATTTTCGTTGTGCTGAGTTTTTACAATCAGTTACAATAACTCGTAAGGCGTACTAGCTAGCATCACGGAGTTTCTATACAGCTGGGTGAATGCTATGATTTTACTGATAGTGAACTTTATTTTATTCATAAGGTTAGTTAGTAGAGTTGCCAACCGTGCTGTAAAAATGGAATCGTCCCGTATTCAGAGAAAATATCACGCGTTTTGTATTGAGCTGAAAAGGAACACAGTTTGTCCCGTACTTCAGCTAGAATGGAAAAGACACAAAGCTGGATATATTCTGTGTTTTTACGGTGTCAGCTGCCTCTTCTTCTCTCATTCAATCTTGAAACTGATCAATGATCAGCTGATCGGTATTTCTGACGCAAGTCCCGTTTCTCCTTTGTTTATCGCCCACTTTGCGCCAGAAAGAGGAAACCAGCAGATGTCGCACTAAACAACAACAGCACGTTTAAGCTTGATCAGCTGTTGTTAGAATGTATTTAATACTAATTTCTAGTATCAGCTGATGTTTGCTGCAAACACAGCTGTAAAAGCTGCTGGTCATGATATCGGTTTTGATATGTGGTCAGAGGGAAACATGAAGATGAAACCAGGAGATGTCCTTACTGAATCATCAGGGCTGAACAGGTGATGGAGAAACAGATTTACCTTTTAGGTGACATGAATGAGTTGAAGGGAAGTTATGAACCGTTTCTGAGAGACAAATAACCCCAGGATCCTTTTTTATGTAGCTGACAGCTGGTAACTGTGCAGGGGCGGGTCTAGCAAAGTGTTGCCAGGGGTCCATGTAGGGCATTAACAGGGAAAGGGAGGCACAAAGAAATACTTTTCTTTCTTATTCTCATTTAAAATGTCTTGCTTTTATTAAATAATTATCTGAACTTACAACCAAAGTTTGTTATCTGATGTACAACGTATAGAAATTATACATATACCAACAAGACAGTGTAAATCACTGTCACAACAGCATTTGTTTTCATTCAAAGGCTTTATGGCTTTTCCTATAATACCTGGTGGGCCGGTCTTTAGTCAAAATGCCCGGGCTGATGTTTTTGTCCCAGTCCAGCCCTGGGCACGACACACAGTGAATTAATCTGAGAGGGTGCATTAAAAAATAAATGGCCGGGCCAGCGGTGCACATCGCAAATTAGCTCGCATAGACACATTAGTTGTGCCGCTTCTTAATGACAGTATCTTAGCTAACAACCCCAACTACTAGATTCAACTTGTAATTGGCTAAAAATCACTTAGCCTACTGGTGAGAGGGACGTTGATAGCTGACAGTTTTTTCAAGCGATGTTGAAATTTCCACATTCCGACACTTCAAATGCTTCAGGAGCTCTCCGCTCAGCGCAGTAACTGTTAATATAGAGCGTTATTAAATTTATTGCTAATGCAATTATATGGCACATTGACTTCTGAGGAAATTTTAGATGGCACTCGTCACCAAAAAGGTTACCTACCCCTGTTATACATATACTCCAACACAATTAGACCTTGTAGGTCATCTTCATTGACAATACCTGTGATGATCTTTAACAGGTGTAGAACTGGGTTTGTCCTTAAACAGATCCATTGTTAAACTGTCATCAGAACAGCCACTCAGCTCCCCCGTCACCCAGTCGGGCAGGCTTCTAACACCGTGCTCCACACTCAGGCTGCTCAGTGGCTCATCAAAGTAGATGGACTAGAAATTAAAATTAAGTACAAGGTTCAGAAGATGAAGTTTCGGTTGGCTAGTTATAAACTCTCTGTTTAAACAATCCACTGCAATAGTGCATATAAAGTACCAGTCAAAGGTTTGGACACACTCACTCATTGAAATGAATGGGTGACAGTTTTCAAACTTTCTGAAGTGGTTAAAACCAGTTGTCAGCACAGGAAAATATACGACTTGTTGAAGCAGTAACTCTTACCATGTATGTAGGAAGTGTTTTAAGGCTTCCTGGCTCTGGTTTGCTGGTGAAAGGCCCATCCAGGACCCCTCTTTTGAGCATCTGAAGGAGCAAACGGGCATACATGTTGCGGTTCTTGCGACCAATCAGACCTGAACCACATGTGGCTGGGTCGCACAGCTTCTTTATCCATTGGGCACAGCGCTGACGCTCTGAGAAGACAAGGAGAGAAAGGATCACTAACCATGATGTAATAACTTTTTTTTTTTGCAATAGCGTTTATACATCACTATTATATTTAATCATTAGTAATTATTCAACTTTGGCTCTCTCTCATTGCTTGCCTTTTGTCCTGTCTCTCGTCTTTCCCTTCAACCCCCAACTAGTTGCAGCTGGAGGCATCGTTCTTTTAAAAGGGAGGTTTTCCTTCCCACTACCAAGTGCTTGCTCACAGGGGACGGCTGATTGTTGGGGTTTCTTTTTTATATTGTAAGTCCTTTATATTACAATGTAAGTACCTTGAGGTGACTGCTGATATTAATTAGTGATGCATAAATAAAATGGAATTGAAAACTGAATGACATGACTAACATATCAGATACAGGGTAGTGTGGAGGCTATAGCCATTCACAGCTGTCATTCGGTGCAAATTCACAACAACAAAAGCGGGTTACGGGTTGTTAGTCTAGGGCTGTTTGTACTTGGGGTGACTGTGGCTCAGATATTATAAGCAAATTGTCTGGCGAGCTGATGGTAACTCTGTCATTCCACAGGTCGAAGACTCCTTGGAAGAAAAACTCAACCCTAGCTTTTACCTTTGTCTAAATGCTTAAAGCATTCACACACATTCACACTTGTATGGATGCTTTAAAGCACTTAGACATAGATAAAAGCCCTGTATGACTGTGTGTGTTATTGGGTGACTGAGACTTGTAGTTGTAAGCACTTTGAGCAGAATTAAATTCAAAAGAATGACTATTCAAGTACCAATCCATTTACCATTTAAACCCGGTTTTGAAGCGTAATGCATAGGCAATAACGGCTCACCTGTCTTGCTTGGGTGTTTGAGGACATATGGCTTCATGTCCAGCAGAAAATGGTCAAACTCAGTGTCCAGTCTCTCCGATGACAGCTCATATTTGCTCATGGTGATCTATATGGAGTATGCAAGTGAAAAAAGACACTAACAACGAGTACGCTGTGCTGCTTTGTTGACAAACACTACATATATTAACATTAGTTAAACAGTGATCCAAAGCGGAAACCTTACGACACATGGCAGCATGCTAACATTAACTAAAATAACCAGCATATTTAAAAAACCGAAACTCTAATTATTAGCTACTTGACTGGGACTCGAGCAGTGCATTAGCAAACATGTTGCAAATACCGTTAGCCGAGCTAAAGCGAGCAAACGTAACGCTCGTCCTTTCCTCTCTTACGGTTTCGTTTGGCTTTCACGAGCAGAACGAGAACGCGCTAAAACAGGGCACACTGTTAGTGAACATGTAAAAACTTAACCAAAAAGCGGCGTCCCCTGAGCACTGATTCCGCCGCTCAAAACGGTTCAAAACTTTAGCGTCCTCCAGCTACGCAACATCCGTTTTCCGCAGACATGCAGCGTCTCCATGTTGCCATAGAAACACGTCTCCTTTGCGTCCGTAAACGTACATAAGTATGTGTACATATTTGTCCCTGGCATTTTACAGCTTAATAAGTTTATTCAATCATTTATATGCAGCTCGTGGTCTCTGGTTTGCTCACACCTTTATTTTCCAGCTTGTTTTAAGATACGTCTATAAAGTCTATTCTTAAAGGAGATTTTTGCCATATATATATATATATATATATATAAACAAACATCAGGCCGAGTGGTATCAAATGCAGTCAAATCTTTCTGCACTGTAGCCACGGATGTATCAGATCTAGCTCAAGTCCACACGATGGCGCTAAACGCCCGCAGTTTTATTTGCATTCAGTAAGTGATGGACGTTTCCTTCAAGTGATCCTCGTATGTTTTTCTTACTCCAGTGTAAAAAGGAGCAGAATAGTAAAGCCATTTCCTAGCTTTTTTTCTTTTCTTTTGTTTTTATTTAGCACTGGTGAAACTTTTCAGAATCCCAGCTGATGGTATAGAGTCGTTTTTAACAAGTACAGCAAATAAGGAAATAGTTGGGTGCTTACAGAAAATCGAATCCATAGAGAGTGCACTTTGCGCATTCTTTTAGGGATAATTAAATATAGTTGACCCATTCTGATGTACCATTAGTGAGCATATGTTTTTACTTTGCTAGAAAATAAAAATGTCTTCCAACACATAAAAAATACACCTTTTGCTTCTTTAATTTCTTTGCATATATTATGCAAGAATCGCCTCTGATTAATCGTGCGCTGAACTTGGAGTGAAATATTCCCACGGTACGTGAAGGCGGGCTTCTCCGACGTCACTCCGAATGAAAAAGAAGCGCTCAGCTGTGGTCCAGGCAGAGGGAAGGCGTGCGGTCCGTCTACAGCAGGCAAAGCTCCAGCACTTGTCCAGAGCTGTGAAGAGACAGGGATAATCACTCAAAAGAAATCGGTCGGGACAACACAAACTTGATTGTGTAGTTTTTGTTTTTAATTTGGGGTTTTTCCTCCTCCCCCTTCCCCAATTATGGCTGACCATCTTTTACATTATAATGATTCAGCTGGGGTTGGGAACAGATTCGCCCGCAAAGGTGCTTTGCGGCAGAAAAACGTGCATGAAGTGAAAAATCACAAGTTTACTGCGAGATTTTTCAAGCAGCCGACGTTCTGCAGTCACTGTACAGACTTCATTTGGTAAGTGTCACTCATGCACACACACAGCGTAATATCCTCGGTCACTGCCATTTGCAGTGTTCAAGTTTAAATGTACCTGTGGCATTTTGTAGTCAAGCTTTCATCGAATTGAATGCATGTCATTAACTAGTTTTAATCAATATGGAATAAAGTGAATCCAACTTGCTTAGCTTTCCCCGTCTTTTTGTTGCAGGGGCTTTGGGAAACAAGGATTTCAATGCCAAGGTAAACCACCTGCATGTCTGCACTGATGCATTTTTTGGTGGAGCCATAGACTCAGTATATAGGCACACACCCCTTAACTGACAGTCACAATTTGCCTGAAGAGACAAGTTAAGCGCAATACAGCCACTTTCAGCATTAGCAGTTGCGCAATAGTGATCGTTTGAGGTATAGTAGTATGAAGAGAAATATATATATTTTTTTTAATATAAAAAACAGCCTGGAAAGTAAACACTTTAAACATAAAAAGGTTTATTTTTGTCAAAGAGCACATCTGCAAGCAAGAAAGCAGAAGTTAGTATTTGCAGATCAGAAACTTTGAACTGTTAGAGTATTTCAAACATTAAACATTTAGTTTTAATATCCTGGACAATCATTTCAATGGTCAGCATTTTCCAAGTTTTGTTTGAAATAAGCATGAGCATATCTTTGAGTGTACTCCCATGCCAAACAGTTCGGCTGATTAGCTCTGTGCAGGCCGTTCGACACCTTCCATGCCATTGGGAGGATAATCCGGAGTGTATCTGGTTTTGCTTTGGACATACCTTCCTCTCTGGTAGCTGCTTCTGGACCGGACAATATATCTTGAAGGATGTGGGTTATGAAAGATCGGTTGATAACCTCTTGACGGAGCCATGACACTCTGGTAAACCTTGACCCTTGAGGGAACCTGGACCCACGGGGGGCTGAACACTGCATTTTGTGGCCGGGGGAGCATCTTATTAAATTTAAGCTTCCTGCCTCCAAAGAACTTCGAAAAAGCAAGAACCCCCCTCCAAGACTGAGAAAAAGGCTGGGCTCGTACGTTACTCGGAGAGGATGGCTTCACTGATGTGAAGGTTTGCCCAGTTGCAGACCCCCTGCTCATGTAATCGGCCATAATCATTAGTGCCAGGACCAGTACTTTGAGGCTGGGAGTTTTCAGAGGGATACCGAAATACTTCCTCAAACACAAGACTGGGTTTCTTTCTTGAACGATAGCTATATCCACTGGAGACTGTGCCGACGTCCTGGCCTGGGTAATCAAAACCTGAATCAGCCACCCCATTACCATTGCTCACTGGTTCAGGCTGCCAGGACTCATAGCTGCGAGGTGCCACAGCCTGAAAGGTTGAGGATGAAGCAGGCTCATAGTATGCAGTTTGACCACTGCTTGTCGAGAGGGGCATAGTGCTTGCATAAACAAATGACGCAGAGCGAGGCATTACAGCAGCTAATTTGGGCTTTGCTAGGTTAGCTACCTCAGAGCTGGACTTTCAAGGGAATAGGAGTGGCTCATTAAGGTTTACTAGCCCTCATTGTCTTGTCTCACCATTAACAAGTCCCTCTATCTTTGGTGCGATTTGTGGGTTCGCTTGTTTTTGTCGAGTCTGCTGCTGTTTAGTCGAACGTTTGTTATAGCTTTTGTACACAAATCCAGCTTGCTGGTTGTCTGCAGCCTGCTGGTTACCCTGATCAGAGGTCAAAATATCATCATCTCCATCATCCACTAGGTCACGTGGCTCTGCTTTATTTGGATACATATATCTATATCTATGCCCATAGCCTGTAAAGTGAGAGAAAGTTTATATAGAAATTGCAGAGTTTAGGCTTAATGTCAAAATTGAGAAAAGCAACTACCTTTTATAGTTGGTGAACCACCATTACTATCAAATGGTAAAGAAATACAGGAAACCCTGTAAGATAGCCAGACGATGCCATCAGATTAAAGTCTCATTTAGAGGTAACTGGAATAAATTGTGCTAACATCAACAAAACATACCAGAAAATGAGTCCAAGAGTAGGCATGGCTGTTAGCTGAGAAGCAGTAACCTGTACTCCTCAGACAGTATGGCTTAAAGGCAAGCAGATTAGATCTAGGACCTGAGTGCAACCTCTGTCCTGTACAATACATCCCTCTGTGCTACTTTTCTATACCAGCACTCCAGTTCTTCATTAACAAAGACCACTTTCAGCTGCTGCTCACGTGGCAATTAGTGGTCAGGTTGTTAACAGGTGTGGCAGCTGAACAGCACCACCCTCTGTGTGGGTGTCAAACATCACCCTTGTAAACATGTTTCCAGTGTAGACAGAACTATTCTGTTTATTTGGAAAACACTGAGCGTCTTTCTTTCTTTTTTCTTTTTCACTGACCGAGAACTTTGTGTCTCTTGAGTCAGGTTGCAATATATTCCCTGAAATCAACACCCCCGTGGCCTGCCGTCTTTGCCAGTTTTAGATTTCTCTCTTAGATATCCGACACTGTGGCAACAGGGCGATGAAGGAGGGAGACAAAGATATTACAGTAGGAGCAAAGTTTAATAGTTATTACAGGGGTCAAAGAAAACTTAAGTCACCAATTGGGTTGCTTAACAATAAAGAAAATAATACCAGGAGTCGACCAGTGGAGACATCAGCACACTCTGATGTAAGAAATGCCCAGGCTGCTGTGCACTAAGCAGAGTGGCAATCTCTGCTTAGTGCAGTCATCCAACTATAGTACTAAAGTGTTGTCATGGCTCAATCAGTACCTCGGTGTTTAAGGACCTTATTTCCCAAGGGATTTACTGTAGCAGATGTTATTTTGGTGTAGATTTTACACCAGATGCCCTTCCTGGCAAAAACCCTCCCATTTATCCAGACTTGGGCCCGGCACTGGGAGCACACTAGCTTGTGACCCCTGAGGCTGGGTTTTGTGTCTCTGCCCTGCCTCAAACCATGGATCTTAATCACTGCACCACAGAATCACTTCCAGTACTCTTGGATGTAAATAACATAAGGATGAAAGAGTGGGGAAAAAAACGTCTGCAGTGATCAATGATAGAACATTTCATGTCTATTCAGTTAAACCGGCGTGATAATAAAATGAGCTGCGATGAATGGTTAAGTGTACCAACTTTAACATAGTTTGTGTTGATATTTTTGCACCAAACTTACTGAGTCATTTTGCAGAGTCATGCAAGAAGATCTGCGTGCTCCTTGTCCTACATCTGCACAGCCACGCCTGACCTTTACATTTTCTAAGCACTAACTCAGACGTCCCATTCCATTTTAAGAGGCTATAGTAGATGGGAATGTTATGTGCATGAACATTCATATATATACATGGCGTGCACGGGCTGAGCTGTCTGCTTGCAGTGCTAATTGTCAGTGAGGAGTGAATGCATCTTGGAGGAGGCTGACAGAAACACGTTCTCGGATGCAGAAAGACTGTGTTTTTGAAAGTGTCCAAGCGAGACAAGCTTTGCTTTTTGAAAACTAAAAATATGATGGTTATTACGTGGAACAGTAAAATGGACAGTTTTGTTTTTTTAAGTTTTAAATCGAGGCACGAATTCTTTTTTTCTCCCTTTGGTAGTGCAGACTCATGCACAGAGCTCCAGAAGGGAATCTCTGTGGAGCTGTTTCTCTGAGGCAGGCATGTAAAGTCACATACTTGTGCTCCTACAACACTGGCAGTCATTGTGATGCTCGTATCTATGCTGGCTAAAGGTGACATGTGTTACTGACATAGCACTCAGCCTCTGAGAGTTAATGGAAAGGTGATGTAGCAGAACTCCTGGAATCCTTCATCTTTATCCTTTTCCCAGCGTGGCTGATAGTTTATGGTTTCGTAGGCGCAGGCAGATTAACGGCTGCCTAGAGCTTCCAGATAACATTTTTTTTCTTAATAATTCTCCTGTGATTACCCATCCTTACCACACAGTGGCAAATCCTGTCAAAGTATGGTTATGGCAAAATAAATGTTTTTATTACTGAAGTGATCTGTGTAGGTGTGGGACTAAACCCCTGCAGCTCCCAGTGTGGTGACTGTTTATTGCTAAGCATAACAAAGGTAATGTTGTTTGAGGTTATCGCGCAATGCATTTTTTTTTTCATTTCATTAATGCAGAATGAATCACTCATAAAAAGATTATAAGTGATACCTTTTTTGCTGAGCAACCTCGCATCTACTTGTGTTTTCCTGAACACGCACGTTCACTGTAACCTACTTTATTTAAGGCCACCATAGGAACACTCAGGATGTGACTCACCTAAAACACCTTGTTATTTACAAAGCGCTCTTTACGATGCGCTGTACAGGGCAGTGGTTAGTGTACGTGGAAAATGCTGTGATGGAGAAACATCAGCAGTGATACATCCTGTCAGATGGGCGCGCTGAGTTAAATTCGGCACACCAACACCATTATACACTCAACCTAGACGTCACTACCCCGTACCTTCTCTCCCTCTCCTGTTGTGCTCATTTGTGTTTACGTATTCCCATTCTATTTTTTTCATAAATTTATTGTGTTGGGGGGGAAAAAAAACTGATTTTGGCAGAATGTAATATACATGAACTGGCCACTTCATTAGTTACACCTTGCTATTAGTGAGTTGGTTTGACCTTGACAGCTTCGTAGTTTTCATGTGGCTTAGATTTAAGGTGCCTGAAACATTCCTCAGAGATTTTGGTCCATATTGATAAGACAGCATCACACGCTGTTGGTGCTCTACTGAATTGAAATCTGGTGGCTGTGGAAGCCATTGGTGTACAGTGAACTCACTGTCATGTTCAGTTAATCAGTTTGAGATAACTTGATGAGTTGCTGTGTGACATATTGCTTGCTGGAAGCAACCATCAGAAAATGGGCACACTGTGGTCATAAAAGGAAGGATATGATCTGCAGTAAAACTCATTAGGATGTGGTGTTTAAACGATACTCAATTGGCACTAAGGGGCTCAGAGCATGCCGAGAAAATACCCCCACCCTATTAAACCACCACCAATCTGAATCGATGAGAGAAGTAAGGATGAATCCATGCTTACATGTTACTTGCACCAAATCTGACCCTACCACCTGAATGTTACAGCAGAAATTAAGACTCATCAAACCAGGCAGCGTTTTTCTAACCTTCCATATTGTCCAATTTTGTGCCCATGTGACTTGTAGCCTTAGTTTCCTGTCCTCAGCTGACAGGAGTGACGCTCAATGTGGTCTTCTGTTGCTGTAGCCCAAATCTGCTTCAAGGTGTGATGTGTTGTGCGTTGCTCTTCTGCATTCTTTGGTTGTAACGAGTGATTATTTGAGTTACCGTTGCCTTCCTATCAGCTTGAAGCAGTCTAGCCATTCTCTTCTGACCTCTGACACCAACAATGAATTTTCACCCAGAGAACTTCCACTCACTCATATTCATATTCTTTCTTTTTCCATCATTCTCTGTAAAACGCTAGAGATGGTTTTATGGGGAAATCCCTGCACATCAGCAGTTTCTGAAATACTCGGGCCATGCCAATTTCACCTCAGTCACCTTTCACTCAAATTGTGTTCACTTAAATCACCTTGCTTTTCCATTCGGATGATCAGTTTGAACTTCAGCAGGTCCTCTCGACTTACACTGAGTTACTGGCATGTGACGGGCTGATTAAATATTTGCTTAAACAAGCAGTTGAACAGTCACTAGGTGTCTAATAACGTGGCCAGTGAGCGTATGTATCTGAGTATACTCCGGTAAATATTGTATCCACAAGTAATGCTAAAGATAAAACCAAATGCAATCTCAATTACTTTTTTGGGACAGTATGCTGCGCCTATGCGTGTTCTCAGATTTTGAGTTAAAGTATATATATAATATATAAAGCGTGTCTATTATTAGTTTCTTTGTACTGTTCTTCCTTATTTGCCCTTATACAATGTTCTCTGCTGCTACTTATATATAGAAAACACTGTTTGTGCCTACGGCAAACACACAGCTGAGATTATGCTTTAGTCACAGGTCACACACGTTCTTTACCCCAGATGGTAAAAATTGCATTTATGCATCAAGGGAATTAATCAGATAAAGCTGCAGAGTGAAAACCAGCTGTCTTGTTTAAAGTATGATCTGGTCCATTTAACATATTCAGTAATGTGAGTGCACTTGTTGATAGATAATGCAGAAATGCATAAGAGGCTGTTTTGCTGCATTAGTGCATAACATATACAAGCGGACGGGCGTTGGAAATGACGTGACGAATGTTTGTGCGTCTGCTTGGATTGAAAAAAATGTATTAAACATGAAGACATCAGCATCAAAATGTGACTTGGACACAGCCCCGATGTCTCGGTGTTAAACAGTTTCTTCTGTTCCCTGAACTTTCCAACACGAGATCGTCTCATTGAAAGCGGTCCTCTGTGTGAGCGAGTGTGCATCAGCTTGTTGGATCACTTGCCACCGTGGCGCAGGCTCTGCTATCCCTTCTTGCCTCCCCCCCCCACCTACTCCTCATCCTTTGAAGTCGTGGAAATGACTGTGCCATCTGGAGAGTTGAGGAGCCATGTTTGGAAGGAGAGCACCATGTCTGGACAGGCAGTTGGAAGAAGAAGAAAAAGAGAAAGAAGCGGTAACAGTGTAGAAAGGGTGGAAGGACGCTAAAAAGGAGGCAAAGGTGAAGGCATAAGTGCAACACTAAATAAACACGGGAAGATGTGTAATTGTATGGGTGGAAGTGTGAGGGTGAAGAGATGGTTAAGTCAAAGAGGCCCTTTACACATTTTGGCTTCTTGCTGTTGAGCTTTGGCAACGATAGAGCAAACAGTGTGACTACTCAGAGCAGATGAAAGGGAGCAGAGCGAAAACAGGGGTGCACAATATGTCTGCGCGGTGACTGACTGTAGCCTGCGGCCAAGTTACATCCAAGTAGCGCTGTCTCAAGTGCAGAAGTTGTTATTAATTAACAACATATTACCTGTTCTAGCTGATACTGCAGCAGGTGTTGTGAGTGGAAATTATATATCCTTTCATTTTAAATTGTTTTGACAATTTGCATCCACGGAGTTGTAGGAAAGTGTGCACAGCTACTTTGTCTTTGTTGTTAGATCAAGAAATGGCAAATTAACATTTAGCACAATCATACTGTTAGAAATGTGACAAATATCAGTCAGATACCTCCCAGATACCAGTACTACTACTTTAGCAATGCCTAAGAGATGCTTAGTAAGGATCCCT